GACCCCCTGATTGGCCCTGCTCTGTGCGTGACAGGCGGTGGCACTGCAACCTCCCAATCGGCCCTACCCTGACCGTGGCTGAGGGTGGCATCGCAACCTCCCAATCCGCCCTGTTCTGTGCATGACGGGGCAGTGCCCCAACTCCCCAATCGGCCCTGCTCTGAGCCCGATCAGGGGCTGCATCTAGGGATTGGGCCTGCCCTCTGCCACCCGGGAGCAGGCCTAAGCCAGCAGTGCTTTATCTCCCAAGGGGTCCCAGACTGTGAGAGGGCACAGGCCAGGCTGAGGGACCCCGCCTTCCCCCCCGAGTGCACAAATTTTTGTGCACCGGGCCTCTAGTTCTTTAATAACATGCTATGTAGCCTTTAATGTTTGAGTACTTTTGCTATAGTTGATTTTTAATTTCTTGCCACTGTTATCTGAGAAGATGTTTGATATGATTTCAATCTTCTTGAACTTGTAGAGACTTGTTTTATGTCCTAACTTGCGGTCTGTCTTTGAGAATGACCCATGTGCACTTGAGAAGAACGTATAGTCTTCCTCTTGGGGTGAAATGTTCTATAAATGTCAATGAAATCCATATGACCCAGTGTGTTATTTAGAGTCTCTGTTTTCTTGTTAATTTTTTGTCTGGAATATCTATTCAGTGAAGTCAGTGGAGTGTTAAAGTTTTCTACTATGACTATATTGTTGCCAGTCTCTCCTTAAAGTCTTCCAGAAGTTTTTTTTATATATTTAGGTGCTCCTATTTTGGGTGCTTATATATTTACCAGAGTTATAACCTCTTTTTGGATCGATCCCTTTAATAGTTATCTTTGGAAGGCAGCTGTGCTCACCACTATACCACCAATGCTGCAAATAGTTATCTTTATTGTTTCTTGTGATCACCTTTATTTTGTTATCTGTTGTGTCAGATATGAATCTTGCCACCTCAGCTTTTATTTCATTTCAATTTTTGTGGAAATTTTTTTCCATCCCTTCAGTCTCATCCTGTGTGAGTCTTTTGTTCTGATGTGTGTCTCTTGTAGACAGCATATAATTGGATTATGTGTTTGTATCCATTCAGTTGCCCTGTGTCTTTTGATTGGAATATTTCATGAATGACATTTACTGTTGTTATTGAAGGTACTTACTTATTGCCATTTTAATTCTGTATGCCTATATTTCTCTCTCTATTTCTTTTACAGCAGTCCCTTTAGCATTTCTTGCAGTACTGGTTTGGTGGTGACAAACTCCTTTAGCCTTTTTTTATGGGAAGCTCTTTATTTCACCATCTATTTTCAATGATAGCCTTGATGGATATAATAATCTTGGTTTCAGATCCTTGCTTTTCATTACCTTAAATACTTCATGCCATTTCCTTCTGGCTTATAGACTTTCGAATGAGAAATCAGTTGACAGCCTTATAGGAGCTCCTTTGTAGATAACAAATTGCTTTTTGCTTGCTGCCTTTAAGATTCTTTCTTTGTCTTTATTTTTTGGCCTTTTAATTATGATGTGTCTGGGCATGGGCATGTTTGAGTTCTTCTTTCTTGGACTCTGTATCGTTTGAACTTATGTGATTTTTTCCTTTACCAGGTTAGGGAAGTTGGGTGTTGGCTGTCATTATTTTTTCATACACCTTCTCTACTCCTTGCTCACTTTCTTCTCCTTCTGACATACCTTTAATGTGAATATTGTTAAGTTTCATGGTTTCCCACAGCTCCCTTAAGCTGTCCTCCTGTTTTTAAATTTTTTTCTATTTGAGTTTCTGATTGAGTGGATTTTTTTTTTCTACTTTGCTTTCTAATTCACTGATTTTGGCTTTTCCCAATCTGCTGTGTGTTCCTTCCACTTTGTTCTTCATTAGTGCTGTGTCGTTCTTCATAGTTACTATGTCTTTTCTCATGCTGTTGGTCATCTTTTCCGTCATTATTCTGAACTCCATGTCTTTCATCCATTTCATTTATCTCTTCTGGAGAATTCTCTTGTCCTTTCATCTGGTGCTTGTCTTTTTGTCTCCCTATTTTGACTGCCTGTTTGGGTTTGTGTCTGTGTAATAAGAGATCTGCTAGGACTTCCAGCCTCTAGTACAGGACAATGTTAGATGCTGTTAGTGACTGGCCCTGAGTATCGTTTGGAGCTATTAGCCAACCACAGCCCGTGGCTCCTCTGCTGGGGCTGGGTGCCTGTGGAAAGAACCAACATGTGCACCAGGGTCTGCTTTTCCTATCCCTGGGCCCAGAAGGAGGTCAGGCAAAGACTCAAAGCTTCCAAAGGCCCGCCTCTGCCAGCAGTCTGATTGTTCTCAGTCTTGAGAGCCTCAGGCTACCGACCTCAGGGTGGGAAAGAGGTCTTCCAACAGCATGGGACAACTGCCTTTCCCCCAGTCAGAAACCACCTGGACAGCAAAGATCCTAGGGCAAAAGATGTCCACAGTGTGAAGGAAGGACTCAGCACAGGAAAACAGAGTGGCTGCCCTCTGAGCTCCAACCCCAGAGTCCCCAAGCTGGAACTCTCCTCACACGACTGCAGTCCACTCTGTCCTCTCTTGTGCTGGAGCCCAAGGTGAGTGGCTACACACGAAATTTTGTACATTGGCCCTTTAAGCGGGTGCCTGCATTTCTAGCCATCTCTCCTGGCAGACAGCAACCCTGCTGCTTTTGACAGTCAGATGTTACTTGGGTACCTTTCTCAGTTCTGGTGCTCTGAGCTGGGGGGCCCAGCTTGGCATTTAGACCCCAGAGTTCTCAGTGGGAACCCCCCTCTGCCCCTACCTTCAGCTGCTGTCTGTGGGAGCCCGGCTAACCATTTCTCATCTTCACATTCCTCCTAGTCTCTATGTGGTCTCAACTTTCCATCCTTGGTTGTCAGGGTTCTCTCTAGCTAGTCCTCAGTTGATTTCCAGAATGGTTTTTCTGTATTTCATTTGTATTTCCAGTTTGGTCCTAGGAATGTCAGTGTAACTTCCACTTACTCGGCTGCCATTTCGGAATCAACCAGAAATATTATTATTATAGAGTAAAATCAATGGCAGGAGAGCAAGGAATTGAATGGCTCTCTATGAAATTACAATTTTTATGCATTTACAAATCTTTAAAAGGGAGTTCTTTTTTAGTGAGATTTTTTTTGAATTCTTTTCTTTGTCCAAATATTTGAGGCCCCCAGAATTGGAGGAATACATTGAAGTCTGCTAAACCAGAATAAAATATGGGAAAAAAGAAGCAAACCGAGAAATAAAGATCAAGGAGCATGCTGCTGCTTTAGTTTTCCCTCATTTTCCTCTCTCTACCTCCAGGCCTCCTTCCGCTTAAGCTCCCCAGTCAGATGTTGCCAGACAGATATAACAGTGCAAGTGTGAGGGGCCTTTGACTCCTCCTCATCTATACTAATAAAAGGGTAATATGCAAATTAACCATCACTCCACGACAAAGATGGTGGCGCCCATAGCCAAAAAGATGGCGGTAGCTGGAGCCATGGAACCGGCCAGAGTGGGTAGGATGCTTGGCTTCCTTCAGGTGCGACGCTTGGCTTCCTTTGTTGCCCCAGCGATGAAGGAAGCCAAGCCTCCCACAAGCCCTGGCCTCTGGGCGACGACCACGGAGCCAGCTGGAGTGAGTGGGAGGTGGCTCCAGGGCAAAGGCCTGGGTCCCGGGTGCCAGAGGGAAGTCAGTGCCAGCAGCAAGGGGAAGGAAGGCCTATTCTTGCACAAATCTTCGTGCATTGGGTCTCTAGTCTTAAAATATTAAGCTACAGTTGTTTTCAGTTCCAGATAAGCCTCTTGGCTCCATTATGATTCTTGTCATTTTCTTCATAGCCCTGAGTTAGAGTGCAGATACTTTCGTTAATCTCTTCAGTTTTGACACGGTCTGATCTTTCTCCCCAAAGGCTTGTAATTGGAAGTGTTAAATGCTATGCTTCCGCTGAGATCCAGTTTCCTGAGGATGGATTTTCCATGTTTCCCATGTTGTCTTTCACTGGTTAACTTCAGACCAAGAATCTGGCACATGACTGCTTGTTATGACACTTTGCATTTATAGTCAATGAACTTCCTAGCAGGGACAGCCTGTTAGTATTTGTAGAGCTGTGAGTCTCAACTGGAGTGTTGTAGCCACTGCACAGCTCACCATTTAGACCAAGGGTTTGAATGCAGCAGATTTTTTCTGGTCCCATTGTTGTGTTCCCAGAAAGTGTACAATGTAATAGATTTGCATTCCTCTGAGAGGAGCCAGGTCATGGATGATTTAGTTGTTGAACCACAGAAGATAAGGATTTTGGGACGGGGTATTTAGAAGGGAAGATTTAAAAGTAACTAAACTAGAAAATGTTTCACATGAAATAAGGTCACTTTGCATTTTGGGGGGAGGAGTCTCTTTGCAGTTAACAAATGGTATTGATGAGGTTTTTAATGTTGGGAGGTGGTCTTGGGCCGCTTGCGTCGGACAGCTGGTCCTGAGGCAGCCATGGGGTTGCTTGTCTGGTTTGGCTGCATTTCTGGGCCTGGAACCGAAACACAGCCAAGGCTGGATGTATCTGATGTGGGTCAGAACCTCACTGTCCTGGGGGCTTGATGCCTAAGGGCTATTCTCCAGCCACTGTTCCTTCCCCCTCAGAGGGTCTACCCGCAGGACTAGCAATAAGGCAGGGGAGGAAAGGGGAGGGAGGGTCCAACCACAGGCCCAGCCATGTGAAAGGTCAGGGATCCAAACTGCAGGACCAGCCATGTGAAAGGTCAGGGTTCTAAACCGCATAAAAAAAGAAAGAAAAGTTAGTATATGTTATATATAATAATTAGTATATATACTAAGTTTTTAACTTGGGGCTATTGATGAAGATGAAAAGAGGGTGGCAAGCAGAACAAGAAAAAGGAAATGACTGTGTTGAAAAGAAACATCCTCTTTCCATAAGTCTCATGTGTGATGTGGTCATATTTGTGTATTTATGTGTAACGTTGTTTCTATTTATACAGAATATTAATACTATGCACTTAAATGGACTAATATATGAAAATACTCCTACTTTTTTGTATAGAACTTTAAAAATGAATAGTGAATATTTAAAGAGTACTTTACTTAGCTATATTATACTAGAGCCTTGATGCATGAAATTCGTGCAAGAGTAGACCTTCCTTCCCCTGGCTGCCAGCACTGGCTTCCATCTGGCACCTGGGACCCGGGCTTCCCTCGTAGCCCCTGCTTCATTCAGAAGGTCATTCGGAAGGACATCTGATCTAATTAGCATATTATGCTTTTATTATTATAGATGTTTTCTGTTGTCAATATATTATGGTAACTTTAAAGTCAATAACTCTGACATTCAGATGCCTTGAATACAGAACACTTTAGCAAAAAGAGGTGTAAGAAATCTGGTAATAGCAATAGATACTGTTTAAACATTTCTTTATTTAGCCCTAGTAGGATTTGAGCTAACACAAAGCTATTAATAAAATGGTGAAGTCTAGCCCTAGCTCGTTTGTCTCAGTAGATAGAATGTCAGCCTGTGGACTGAAGCAAACGGTGGTCTGCGGACCATTGGTGGTCAGTGAGGTCTGAAAGATTGGTGACTGCTGGACTGAAGGGTCCTGGGTTTGATTCAGGTCAAGGGCACATGCCTGGGTTGTGGGCTTGATCCCCAGTAAGCAACCAATCAGTGATTCTCTCTTGTCATTGATGTTTCTATCTCTCTTTCCTTCTCCTATCCTCTCTGAAATCAATACAGATATATTTTAAAAAATAAAACGGTGACATCTAATTTAAAAGTTGTTTATGTATCTAGAATTAAATAACTATTTCAGTTTCTATAATCAAAGTTCTAATTTTGACAGATCTTCAACATTGGGGGGGTTCTACAAAACTGGATGCAACATCTAATTTTTAAATACATTTTCTTCTAGTATCTTTCTCTGAAGAAGAGAAGTGTCAGCTGCGGAAATTTGTCCATAAGTCTTACCTGCTGGACAAAAGAGCCCAACGTCAAGTGTACTATAGTCTGATTGATATCCTTCTGGCCTATTGCTATGAGACTCGTGTCAATGAAGGAGAGAAGAACGTAAGTGCGTGTGTGTCTGTGCTTGTTGGCTGAGACTCCTGCACTGAGTAAACTGTATTAGTACTTCACTCCTCTTGTGGAGAGTAAGACCTGTGGTGATCACTGCTTAGGGGACGCTTGGGGCAGAGTTGCACATGTTTGTTGGTGGTGGGTATCAACATAGAAGCATAATGCTTACCTGGTGTCTTTCTTTTCTCTTGGCATCAGTCTTTACACATAGCAAAGAGGGGAAGTAAAACTGAGGCTAGAGAAAAAGGATCTTTAGGAGATAAATTGCTCAAATAAGACACTTGACTTTGGCAAGGAGTAAACTATCAACCCATTTATGTTCTTTCTCTGAGCTTTCAATTAGCAGGTGCAAGGTATAGGAATCTTTTAAAGCAGTGGTTCTCAACCTGTGGATCGCGACCCCTTTGGGGGTCGAACAACCCTTTCACAGGGGTCACCTAAGACCATCAGAAAACACATATATAATTACATATTATTTTTGTCATTAATCACTATGCTTTAATTATGTTCAATTTGTAACAATGAAATTGGGGGTCACCACAACATGAGGAACTGTATTAAAGGGTTGCGACATTAGGAAGGTTGAGAACCACTGTTTTAAAGAAATCCTATATAATAAAAAGGCTAATATCAAATCGACCTAACAGCGGAACGACTGGTCACTATGACGGGCACTGACCACCAGGAGCAGACGCTCAACACAGAAGCTGCCCCCTGATGATCAGTGCTCTCCCACAGGACTAATGCCGCTCAGCCAGAAGCTGGGGCTCATAGCTGGCGAGCGCAGCGGCAATGGTGGCAGCCTCTCCTGCCTCTGCGGCAGTGCTAAGGCTGTCCAACTGCTGGCGTAGGCCTGAAGCGGGCCTAAGTTGTCAGTCGGACATCCCCTGAGGGCTCCTGGGGGGTGCATGCCGGGCTGAGGGATTACCCCCCCCCCCCCCGCCTCAGTGCATGAATTTTGTACCCTGGACCTCTAGTCTGTTATTAAGAATATACTAATGTAAAGTACTAATGTAAAGTACATTAGTATTCTTAAATTCTTTTTTAATAACACAGACTATCGTAGCTCAACTGGCTGACATGTTTAACCCTACCAGACCGCTGTACCGATTTTTAGGTTATTTCCACACAAAGGTGGAATATTGGCGCTAGATGAAAAGGTAGATGAAAGGTAGACCTATTTTCTACAATGTCCCTAAGTTCCATCTTATTCTAACCACTTGTTTGCATGTAACTAACATTTTTCTATATCATGCTGGTTTTTTTCTCTTTAATGCTCAGGAGCCCAGGTATAGGGGACAGTTAGGTTCAGGGCCTCAGGTCTGGTAGACTTAAACCACATTTGATTTTGTAAATGAAGAGCTAAACATTTTTCTCACCTCTACTTTTAAAAAAGCTGGGAAACAACAACAAAAAGTCTTTCTGGTTAATGTGCACTGCAGCTGTTTATGATTATCTTAGTTCAAAGGGCTTTTCTTGAGCTGTGCACATGCTTTCTTAAAAATTTAAATACACAAATACTCCATATCATTGTAAAGGGAAATGCACACAAGAAAAAAATCATTAAAATGTCCTGTAATCTCAACCCCAGAAAAAGCCACTGTTAAAAGGTGATGTATCTCTTTCACTCTTTCATTGTGCACATGTATGTATGCATGTATGATGTTGGGTCATGATGTATGCATTATATAGCCTGCTGTTCTCACTTAACATCATAGTTTTAGGATTAGAATTTTATATGTGCCAAGATGATTTATATTGTCATGATTCTGAAAATTTCAAGAGAGACTCTTGAGATTTGCATTTCACTCCAAAATGAATATAAGTGAGTGTATCAAGGTCCTAATATAACTGAAAATGCTTTTTGTTTCCACTCATCTTTTTAAGATACTGCAATTGGAGAAAATGTTTTCTTTGGCAAAAAGTGCTTATTGCTTGAGGAGATAAGTGAGTGTTTAGTTTTACTCGATAACATTTATTCTTCTATTTGCATATTTGAAATTATGAAGTCTTGAAACTTCAAAACCTTCTTTAGAATATATTTACTCTCACAAGCATTCTCTGAAAAGGCCAAATTCTTGAGCAGCTTTTTTGTGGGCCACAGACACACATTAATATTATTTTTGAGTCCATTGATAGAATGTTTGGGAAGTAACTTAGTTGAGAAGGACAGAAATTGAGCAATGCATCACTTTACTTTAATTTTACTTTCATAGCTGTGCTCATTTGCTCTTGTGCCCTGGGACTCTCATTAGTGGAAAAGCTTTACTTTATAAAATCCAAATAGACAGAAACTTGCCTTTGATAGCATCTGCATTGAGTAAAGCAAGTATTTTATTTTATTTTTTGCAATCATAGACACTTCTTAGCTTTTATATTTATGTCAACACTACTCACATGCTATTTGAATAAATGGATATATTTGTTTTATTTTTATATGACTATCTCTCACGTGACAGTATTCTTTTCTTTAAAACAAATAAAGGTTGAATCTGCGTGGAATATCAGAAAACTGAGTCCAACACTGTGCTGGTTTGAGGTATGACTTTTAATTGCAATTCTTTAGATTTGTTTGTCCAGAAAGGTATTTTTTCATTGTCATTAGTTCATTTTGGGTAATTTAAGCAATTCCTTGACTTTTTAAAACTGGAAGGTTTATTTTACAAGTTTATTTTTTATCTTTTTAATAAAATTCTAATCCATTTGTTACTCTTATTCTAATTATAGTATACTCTTATTCTAATTATAGTATACTACCCCAGGTGGGGTATTTTGGAAATCAGGAGAGGGAGAACGCATTTTGGAGAAAGAATTGGTATGTGGTTTGTTGGGGAAGACTGTGGGGTGGAGTTGAGGCATGTTTATGAGTTGACATATATTGGGGCTCAGAGGTCAAAGATGGTAATCACACCCAATGGTCCTACCACTGGCTCCCACTGACCACCAGGAGCTGTGGAGGCGTTGTACATGCATTCCCTCACTAACTCCTTCCATAGTCTGTGAGAAGTATTATTAACATTTTACAGACCAGGAAACTTAGCACATGTAGCTTAAGTAACTTCTCATAGTCCTATAATTAGTATAGTTAGATCTGATAAATCTTTTAATATAGTGATACTTGTTTTTACATATATTTTCTAGAAAATAGTTTTGTAGGTCTTACCAAAAATATCAATGGGTGATATCTTTAAATTTACCTGATTTGGACAAAATGTTATACATCAAAATAGTAATTAAGAGTAGAAGCTTTAAAAAGTGTCAATTTAAATTTCCCTCAGTTGAAAGCCTACATACTAGGTGTACTGGTTAATAATGCGGATTTTTTTCAATAGATGGAATAACACATATGTTGATATATATGCGATTTGATAGGTATGCTATTTTGTTGTATTGACAAGAAGCTTCAAAACTTCATATGTCAAATTTGTTGAAGGTGTTAACATCATAATAGATATTTTTACATTTAAAAATGTAGAATTTTGTGCCAAAAAAAGAGCATTTGCGGGAAGTTTTAATTCATTACTTTATTTTGAAGAAAAGTGCTGCTGAATACTTCAGGAAGCTTATGGTGAACATGCTCCATCTCAAGATACTTGTGAATGCTAGTTTAAATGCTTTAAAAGTGATGATTTCTATGTGAAAAACAAAGAATGTTCAGGTCAACCAAAAAAGTTTGAAGACCAACAATTACAAGCATTATTGGATGAAGATGCATGTCAAACTCAAAAACAACTTGTAGAAAGATTAAACATTTCTCAGCAAATAATTTCTGATCGTTTACAAGGAATGGGAAAGATTTTAAAGGAAGGAAAATGGGTGCCACATCAACTGACAAAAGACAAATGGAAAACCGAAAAGTCATCAGTAAAATGTTGCTTCAGCGGCACGAAAGAAAGTTTTTTTTGCATCAAATTGTGACTGGCGATGAAAAGTGGATTTATTTTGAGAATCCCAAACGCACAAAATCATGGGTTGATCTAGGCCAAACATCAACATGGATTGCAAGGCCAAATCGCTTCGGAAAAGACAGTGCTCTGCGTTTGGTGGGATCAGGAAGGTGTGGTGTATTATGAGCTTCTAAAACCAGGTGAAACCATTAATACTGATCGCTATCGACAACAAATAATCATTTGAACCACGCTTTGATCCTGAAACTACCAGAATGTGCT